GTCCTATCCTACTAATGACCAATTTTATTAAAAACCTAACCTACTAATGGCCTATCCTACTAATGTCTTAGCCTAGTAATGACCAATTTTATTAAAAACCTATCCTACTAATGGCCTATCCTACTAATGTCCTATCCTACTAATGACCTATCCTACTAATGACCTATCCTCCTAATGGCCTATCCTACAAATGACTTAGCCTACTAATGACCAATTTTATCAAAAACCTAACCTACTAATGGCCTTTTAACAACCTGTGTTGTTAATGAAGTAGCAGTCTCGAAGGACGAATTATTAAAGAGCGAAGTCGATAGTAAGAGACGTACGCCGTGTTATTATCTTATTCCAAACCAACTAACTCATTCTAAAAAAACACAGCGGTATATACAAGCAGCGAAGCGTAGCATGAAAAGCACAGCGGGAACAAAGGCTTAGATGTTATCACTACAGTACCTCCCCCCTAGAATGCAAGCTCGAGAAAAGCATTTGAGACAAAAGTTGATAAAACGTATGTACGAATGTTCAGGCATGTCCATATCGGTCGGGAAAATGTACTTTTCTCCCTGAACGTGTTGTTCGAGAAGTACCAGGTACTTGGTTCTCTACCGGCTTGGTCCTCGTTGAAGCATGGTCGGATGGAGATGATGTGTTTCTGGCAGTTGAACGTTGGTGATCTGCATCGGTATAAGCAACTTTCAGACGATCAATGCTTATCGTCTGTTGTTTTCCATTGACATCTACGAGGAAATGTTTGTCATTGCGCTTCAGAACCTTGAAAGGACCGTCATAGGGAGGTTGAAACGGCTTTCGAACAGCATCATGGCGAACAAAGACGTGCGTACAAGATGAAAGATTAGCTGGGATGTATGTGTAAGCTTCTTGAGAACGGGGAGGAGTTGGTTTTAGTTGTTGCATAAAACTTTGTAGACGATCAACAAAAACAGAGGGATCAAGGGCTGTGACATCAAATGTTGGAGATATGAATTGACCTGGAAGACGAAGTGTGGAACCATAAACAAGTTGGGCAGGTGAACAACCGAGGTCAGTTTTAATCGTTGTCCGAAGGCCGAGGAGAATGAGTGGAAGAAGGTCGATCCATCTTGTGGAATCCGGTTGTGCTTTGATTGAAGCTTTAAGCTGTCGATGGAAACGCTCAACCATGCCATTGGCGCAAGGGTGGTAAGAAGTAGTATGAATACGTTTGATTCCAAGTAAATCAGCGAGGGAACGGAAGAGAGCTGATTCAAACTGAGCTCCTCGATCAGTTGTTATCATTGAAGGAACACCAAAAACTGCAATCCAACGTGAAACAAAAGCTTGAGCGACGGTTTCTGCGGTAGCATCTGAAATTGGAATCGCCTCTGGCCAACGAGTGTAGCGGTCGATGCAAGTAAGAAGATATTTACAGCCATTTGATGGTGGTAGTGGGCCAACAAGGTCAATGTGTATGTGATCGAAACGTGTGTCAGTAGATGGAAAGTTCCAATGGGGGAAAACGTGTGACGGGTGACTTTAGCCTGTTGGCATGGGATACAGGACCGAGTCCAATTGCGGATGTCTTTGTTGATACTAGGCCAGATGTAATGTTGTCTGATAAGTCGCTGTGTTGCACGAATACCGGGATGTGCAAGTGAGTGGAGGTGATTAAACACAAGGCGGCGATAACAGACAGGAACATATGGGCGAGGAGTGCCGGTTGATATGTCACAAATGATGGTTCCAGAATCTGCCGGTAAAGGAAACTCTTTCAGGTTAAGAGAGGTGTTTGACTGTATATGTTGAAATTCAGAATCTTGCTGTTGAGCTGCAGACAGTGTGACAAAGTCAAGGGTTGGAATATTGAGTAAGGAATTGAGCTCAATGCGAGAAAGAGCATCAGCAACCACATTCTGATGGCCTTTTACGTGTCGTATGTCAGAGGTGAATTGAGAGATAAAATCAAGATGGCGAATTTCCCGTGGCGAATATCGATCAGACGAAGAAGACAGTGCATGGAGCAATGGCTTATGGTCTGTCATAACATGGAATGCGCGTCCTTCCAAAAAGTACCGAAAGTGCTTGATAGCTAAGTAGACGGAGAGTAGTTCTCGTCCAAATGTGCTGTACTTCGCTTCGGCTGGTTGCAGGCGCTTTGAAAAAAAAGAAATAGGTTGCCAGGCACCATTGAGGAATTGTTGAAGCACTGCTCCTACAGCAACATTCGAAGCATCAACAACTACACTGCATGCTGCTACCGGTGATGGGTGAACAAGAAGAGTAGCCTGGGAAAGCGCTGTTTTGATCTCTGAGAATGCAGATAATGAATCCACAGTTAGTTGGAACGGTTCCTTGGTAGACTTGGAAGAGAGAAGGTCGGTGAGAGGCTGTATTAATTGAGCACAGCGAGGCACAAAACGGCGGTAGAAGTTGATCAATCCCAGGAACTCGCGAAGCTTTTTGAGCGAAGTAGGAGGAGGAAAATCTTTGATTGCTTTAACTCTTGTGGAAAGTGGTGAAATTCCTTGTGGTGAAACATGATGTCCTAGGAAGTCAATATGAGATTGGCCAAAAATGCATTTGGTAGGGTGAATGACAATACCATGATCGGAAAGACGAGAGAATAAAATGTCAAGATGCAACAAATGTTCTGCTTCAGAGTTGCTTGCGATAAGTAAATCATCAATGTAAGCAAAAACGAAATCCAAGCCACGAAGTACTTGGTGCATGAAGCGCTGGAAGGTCTGTGCTGCATTACGCAATCCGAATGGCATGCGAACGAACTCAAATAGCCCAAAGGGCGTGGTTATAGCAGTCTTAGGAATGTCACTAGGCTCGACTGGAATCTGATGATATGCACGCACGAGATCAATTTTTGAGAAAACGGTTTTTCCATGCAGAGACGAAGAGAAATCTTGGATGTGTGGGATAGGGTAGCGATCAGGAACTGTAGCATTGTTCAAGCCACGATAATCACCGCAAGGTCGCCAGTCACCTTGAGTAGCCTTAGGAACCATGTGCAACGGAGAAGACCAACTGCTTTTTGACGGTCGAATGATGCCAAGTTGTAACATGTGATCAAATTCTGCCTTGGCAATGGTCAAACGTTCAGAAGCAAGACGACGGGGACGAGCAAATACAGGAGGGCCTGTAGTTGTGATGTGATGGGTGACTGTATGCTTTACTTTTGATTCGTAGTATGAAGGACGGGCAATGTCAGGATACTTTTGAAGTAATGCTTGGTATGGCGAAGTAGTATCAGGGGTTGCCAGCATAGGATGAGGTGAGCTGTCGGCGGACAAAATGCCTTGAATGGTCAAATTAGTTGTAGTGTCAATGAGTTTCCGATTTTTAACATCAACTTTAAGGGCAAAATGAGCAAGGAAATCAGCGCCAAGAATAGGGAACGGTATTTCAGCAATAATAAAAATCCACCTGTACGTGCGGCGAAGTCCGAGGTCTATCGTTAAAGACTTTTCTCCGAAAGTACGAATTGGCGACTTATTTACAGCTTGCAAAGAAATGTTTTGAGAAGTTTGTTTATCAGCAGAAGAAGGAGGTAAAACGCTTACATCAGCACCTGTATCTACCAAGAAACGTGTACCAGTGGTACGGTCGGTAATATAAAAGAGGCGACTGGAAGAAGCAAGACCAGCAGAACTAGTCGCCCTTAGTTGCTGGTGGCGTCGTTTCCCTGGTTTGAGGTGAAGCTTGAAAAGTTGCATGGTGGAGTGCAATTGCGAGCAAGTCGACCATAACGTTGATGGTACCAACAGTAGGTAGAGTTTGAGGGTGCTGGGCTGGTTCGGCGATTACGGCTGGTAGAGCGGCTTCGGCTACGCCCTGGGAAACTATTGGTTGGCTGTGTGCGGCTGATAAGGGCTTGGACTTGAAAAGTCAATTCCTCTACTTGAGATCTGAGAGCATGAACTTCAGAAGCGATAGGCGGTGTAACAGGCGTGGGGGCTAGCGCTGACACAGTAGGTGTTAAAGAGGAAATGCCAAGGGGGGTCGCAACCTCTAAAATTTTGTCTGCTAATAAAGCAACCTGCTCAACGGGAAGGGAGTCAGCAGTGGAGGCTAAAATCAGCCTGACATTGGTTGGTAACCTTTCCAAAAACAACTGTCGTAAAATGTTGTTTTCCAGTGTATTGTCTCCAAGCAGTTGTCGCATATGGCGCAGTAATTGAGAGGGCTTCCGGTCACCCAGTTCTTCTGCAGTCAGCAGTTGGTGAAGCCGCTTTTGTTCAGAGGCGGAAGTGCGCTGTATGAGTTCGGCCTTGAGTATATCGTACTGCGTTGCTTGAGGGGGGTGGATCAAAATGTCGCGTACCTCCTGTGCGATTTCAGGCTGGAGAGCGGAGATTACATAAGCAAACTTTGTAGCCTGTGAAGTTATATTTCTTGTGAAAAACTGGGCCTCTACTTGAGCAAACCAAACAAGGGGGTCGTTAGGCCAAAAAGGTGGAAGTTTGACACTCACCGAAGCAACTGGTACTGGTGCTGAAGTCGTGGCGATGGCTGCAGTTGCAGTAGTGCTGGCGGACGGTGGCGTGTTGGCGTCTGTATTCATGTCGAATTGTAGACGTAGAAATAAACAACGTGGTCACCAATTTAACAACCTGTGTTGTTAATGAAGTAGCAGTCTCGAAGGACGAATTATTAAAGAGCGAAGTCGATAGTAAGAGACGTACGTCGTGTTATTATCTTATTCCAAACCAACTAACTCATTCTAAAAAAACACAGCGGTATATACAAGCAGCGAAGCGTAGCATGAAAAGCACAGCGGGAACAAAGGCTTAGATGTTATCACTACAGCCTTCCTACTAATGATCCTATCCTACTAGACCAATTTTAATATAAAAACCATCCCTACTAGAGCCTTCCTTATAATTTGCCTACCACAATAATGTCCTATCCTATTAATGTCCTATCTTCTATGACCAATTTTTATTAACCTAAATAACCTACTAATGGCCTATCTTACCTAATGTCCAGCCTATAATACCAATTTCATTAAAAACCTAACTACTAATGGCCATCCTACTAATGTTCCTATTCTACTAATGACCAATTATTAAAACCTATCCTACTGAAGCCTATCCTATTAATGTGTCCTAGCCACTAATTCCTGATCTATTAATTGTTCCTATCCTTCTAAATGACCAATTTTATAAAAACCAATCCTAACTAGTGCCCTATCCTATTAACTGTCTTCCTACTACTCCTCCTAATTCCTATCCTCTAAGACAATTTATAAAAAACCTAACTACTAATGCCTATCCTATAAGGCCTATCCAACTAATGTCCTACTCTACTAATGACAATTTTATTAAAAACCTTCCTACAGATATGCATTTCACCGTAAACCTCCGAGCACGGCAATAAATATAAGCTCGTACTCAAAATTTCCATAGTATATTTTTTTAAAACACATACTCCCACTGGTCTAACTAATCTCAAACCTTAAAAAAATTCATTATAACCTGAACATTATGAATGAACCAATCTTTCAATCTCTCTAAAA